TTTTCTGCTTTTCCCCGGCAGGGAAAGAAGAAGGAAAAGTTCAGGATCTTGTTCGTGTTGTAAAACCGGGCTTTGGGATGGGGGAATTTTTGGAAGGGGGGGTTTGTGGACACCCCTAAGCCTTAGCTTGGTCAGCCACCACCGCGGTGCTCCCTCGGGCTGCGTTTCCCAGCCCCCTGCCCGGCGGTGTCGGCACCCTCTCCTCCCCATCAAAAATTGCTCCCCATTTGCCCTTTCCATCCCGTTCGCATTTCCATGGGTTTTTGCCTTTATTTGTTGATGACACTAAATTTATCCGGGTGGTGGTTGAAGTCTCCGAGGCCCGAGAGCTGCAGGCTGCACCCCGGGGACCCGGTGCTGGCTCCGCTGCTGGCATCGGGAGCATGGTTTTCCCTCTGGACTCTTAGGGTTTTATCTCCAGAGGGGGGGGGAATTCTGGAAACAAACAAACAAACAAACAAACAAGAAAAAAAAAACAGCAGCCAATTTTTTTTGGTAGGCTTTTCCCTTGAATTTCCACAAGAGGGAAAAGGGACGGATTCTCATGAGAATACATCGTGCCGGTGGCTGCTTTCTGTCCCTCTGCCAGCCTCGCCAAAAAGTCATTTTCACATTTCTGGACACGAGCTGTGCTCACACACACTGAGCAGCTCCGGGGGGTGACTTTTCCCTGGGGAAAGGGAGGAGGAGAGCAGGGAAGAATAGGGCCCCCTCTGAGGCGGCTGATCCTGTGCTCAGCCCCACTGTTTGGGGGTTCCTGGGGTGTTTTCAGCAGCAGGTGCCGGTGGTAGGGTTGAAAAAAAAGTTGAGGGATTTGGGGGATTTGTTGTATTAAAATAATTCTTGGGTGTTTTCAGCCTTGGCCCAGGTCTGGTGCTGAGCCTGGTGTCACAGAGCCAGGGGGACAAATTGCGTCCCCTGCGCTCTGAGCTGGGGGCACCAGGGGGGGAGCTGAGCCCCTTTTTCCCCCCAATTTCTCTTCGTGGTGGGGGGATCTGAGCCCTATGGGGTGCACAGCTGCCTTGGGGGGGCCAGAGCTCAGTGAGCTCCCCAGTTTCGGGGAGCTCACGGGGTGCAGGAGGAAGAATCTGGGGACGGTGCATTTGGGGAAGGCGCATGGGAAAGTGTTTGGGAAGGGTTTTTTGGGGAAGGCGCATGGAAAAATGTTTGGGAAGGTTTTTGGGAAGGTGTTTGGTGAAGATATTTAGGGAAGCTGTTTTGGGACATCACCCCTGGGCAGCATTTCGGGGCAGCATTTTGGGGAGATGCTTCGGGGAGGAATTTTGGGGAAGGCGCTTCGGGCATGGGCTGCGGCACCTTGCGGGCAGCAGCCCCGACCTGGCCGGGGGGTGATGGTTTTGGGGGGGTAGTGGGGGGGCTCAGCTTCGACCCCCGTAGCCCCCCCCCCTCCGTTTTCGGTGGCCACCTGCGCTGTGCCGCCTGCAGTGCCGGCAGCGGCCACCGGGTGGGGCGGCAGGGCAAAGAGTGAGCGCGGCGCCGGGGGGGCGCCGGCACCGGGATGCACCGGGGGGGGGGCGAGGAAGAAGAGGAGGAGGAGGAAGAAGATGGGGGGGGGAGCAGCCCTGCAAGGGGTGTATGGGGAGAAGGGGGCCGGCGCGCCCTGATGTGTGCTGGAGGTGTTTTGGGGAGGGTTGTGGGGGGGGTCCCCGGGGGTTGGGATGCGCGGGGGGGGGTCCCTGTGTTAGGGTGCAGCGGTGTGAGGCGGGGGGGGGGGGGATGATCGTGGAGAGGGACACGCGGGGGGGTCCACACGGGGATGCGTGGGGTGTTTGGCACCGGTTCCGTGCGCCGGGATGCGGGGGAAAGGTGGGGGGGGGTGGGCTCAGCACCGAGACCACCGAGCCCCCCCCCTCATCTCACTGTGCCCACGGGAGCGCCCGGGGGTGCCCAAGGATGCGGGGGGCATGGGGGGGGGGGGGGTGCGCTGCGCCCACCCTCCGGGACCCTCTGGGGAGGGGGCTCCGGTGCCGGCTCCCCCCGGGGTCACCTCAAAGCAAGGCTCGGGGAGGGGGGGTCCTGCCCGCCCCCCAGGCTCCCCAGGACCAGGAGCAGCGTGGGGGGGGCGGGGGGGGGGGCTCAGCCCCTCTCGGAGCTCCGCAGTCCCACCGGGCACCAGACTCAAACCAGCTGGGGAGGCTACGGGGGGACGCGGTGGGGGGGGGGGGGGTTGGGTGAGTGGGGGGGGGGGGTGGCGAAGGAGCGCGGGGGGGGGGGGAACTCAATGAACTTTTGTTTTTCCTGTAATCTGAAGCAAATGCTTTGCAAAAGGGCCTGTAACCAGGCAGCCCGGATACCTGCCTCTGCCTCCATCGCTGCTCGGGGGGGTCCCGGGGGGGGGTCCGGGGAGGGGGCGCAGGGCGGCAGCCTCCTGGGCAAGGCTGGTTTGGAAGCACCGCGGGGAGACAGCGGGACCCCCACCCTGAGCCCTGTATCCTGGGAAGGTGGTGGTGGGGGGGGGGGGCAGAAGAGTGGTTGTGCCCCCCCCCCCCAGAGACATAGGGGTGAGGGGTGGAATAGGGCAAAGGCGAAAAAAATGTCTCGTGGGGGCAGAGGGTGAATAAATTGCAAGGGGCGAGTTATTGGGAGCGGATAAGCGGAGGGGGAATCATTGCGAAGGGGGTGAATAATTGGGGGGGGGGCATTGCAAGGAGGTGAATAACTGGGGGGGGGGCATTGCAAGGGGCAAGTTGTTGCAAGAGGCCGGGGGCAAATCAGCCAAGGGGGAAATCACTGCAAGAGGGGAGGGGATGGGGGCAGCACGGAGGGCAGGGAAATGGGGGGGGGGGTCATTTTGGGGGGGCAAACCGCTGCAAGGAGCCAGCCACGGGAGAGGGAGAGTCTCTAAAAGGAGGGAGGGGTACTGAGGGGGGGGGTAAATTAGTGTGGGGGTAAGTGATTGAAAAGGGAAAATTATCGGGGGTGAATCCTGGGGGGCATCACTGCCAGGGGGAAGTCCCGGGGGGGGAGTTCTTGAGGGGGGGAATTGCTGGAGGGAGGAATTGTTATGGGGTGAGCTCTGGGGGGATCGTTGGAAGGGGGAAATCCTTGGGGGGGGGGGTAAAACTTGGGAGGGGGGATCCTTGCAAGGGGAAATCAATAGGGTTTTACACCGGGGGGGGCATTGCGTGGGAGAAATTTGGGGGTTAAGTGTGGGGTGGAGCAGGGGGGACCACCAGGAGTCGGGCATTGGGGTGATATTGCAAGGGGGGGGGTGTGAGTCACCCTAAGGGGTAAATCTTGGGGTGGGGGGTTGCAAGCAGAGACACATTAGGTGGGGGAGCAAATCCTGGGGGGGTAAATCCTAGGGTGGGGGGGGCAAATCTTGGGTAGGGTAAACCTTGGGTTAAGGGGGGTTGCAAGGAGACCCTCATTAAGAGTGTGGGGGGCAAATCTTGGGGGATAAATCTTGGGGTCGGGGGGTAAATCTTGGGGTGAGGGGATTGCAGAGAGGGACTCATTAAGTGTGTGTGGGGGGGCAAATCTTGGAGGGTAAATCTTGGGGTGGGATAAATCTTGGGGTGAGGGGGTTGCAAGGAGAGACTCATTAAGGGGGGGGACTTCATTGGGGGGGGACTCATTGAGGGGGGGAACTTGGGGTGGGGTAAATCTTGGGGTGGGGTAAATTTGGGGCTGAGGGGCTTGCAAGGAGGGACTCGAAGTGGGGGGGGCAAATCTTGGGGTGGGGTAAATTTTGGGGTGAGGGGCTTGTGAGGAGGGACTCTTGAAATCGGGGGGGCAAATCTTGGGGTGGGGTAAGTCTTGGGGAGGGGTAAATTTTAGGGTGAGGGGGGTTGCAAGGAGGGACTCATGAAGTGGGGGGGGCAAATCTTGGGGTGGCGTAAATCTTGGGGTGGGGTAAATTTGGGGGTGAGGGGGGTTGCAAGGAGGGACTCATGAAGTGGGGGGGACAAATCTTGGGGTGGGGTAAATCTTGGGGTGGGGTAAGTCTTGGGGTGGGGTAAATTTTGGGGTGAGGGGCTCGCAAGGAGGGACTCTTGAAGTCGGGGGGGCAAATCTTGGGGTGGGGTAAATTTGGGGGTGACGGGGGTTGCAAGGAGGGACTCATTAAGTGGGGGGGCAAATCTTGGGGTGGGCTAAATTTTGGGCTGAGGGGCTTGCGAGGAGGCCCTCCCTAGGGGTTAAGCATCTTGTGTGTGTGGGGTGGGGGGGGGGCTGGCTAAAATCCTTGGGGGGGCGCCGGGCTGAGCCGCGCTGCGCTCGTCTCTCCGCAGGCCGAAGGTGCGGACGGCGGCGGCGGCGGCTGGAGGAGGAGGAGGAGGAGAAGGAGGAGAAGGAGGAGGAGGAGAAGAGGAGGAGGAGGAGGGAGGCCGAGGAGCTCGGCGTGACCGTGCTGCGGGCGGCGGGCCAGGGCTCGCACGCTCCAGCGCCGCGTCCGCCCGGCTCGGCCCGCCTCCCCCGGAGCCCTCTGAAGTGAGGGTGGGTGTGCGGGGGAGCAGCCGGGGCTGGCGGCGAGCCCAGCCCGGCTTCCCCGCCTCTATATAAACACACATTGACTTTCTGTTACCCGAACTCACATCGCGAGGGGCTATACCGAGGCAGCCCTGCCTCCTCCTCTTCCACCAGGAGGCTTGTGAAAAGTCTGGGGGCTAACAAATAACCGGCGCGCTTATATATATATATATATATATATATATACACATATATTTATATATATATATATTTATGGAGATATATTTATGTGGAGGGAGATAGAGCTATAAACCGATCTGTCTCGCTCCCTGTGTATAGATACATATATAGAGCTATTTAATTCTGCCATCTCTCCAGGTCTTTGCTGACTTATTTTAAGATTTTTTTTTTTTCAGTATTTTTTAAAATCTCGCTCCTTTTCTTTTTTTTTTTTCTTCCTTTTTTTTTTTTTTTTTTTTTTGCTCCTTCTGGTGTGTGTGGCTTGCCTTGAAAGCGAGCGAGAGCCAGAGCATCTGCATTTGGACTTTTTGGGGGTCTTTTTTTTTTTTTTTCACTCCGGGGTTTTCCTTTTTAATTTTTTTTTTTTCTCGCGTTTTTAGCTACTCAGTGCCCCCACGCCCCTCTTTTGGGGGCTCTCCTGTAGCCTTTTTCTTTTTTCCTCTCTTTCAGCGTAGTTGGTGTGGTTTTCTTTTTTTTTTTTTCCCTTTTTTTTTTTTTTCGCCTGTGTCACTCTGTCAAGTTTATTCCAAACAAGAACAAAGTTTTCAGAGAGGGACAGAGGAGAAACTGCTTTTTTTTTGCCCCTTTTCAATTTTTCCTTGCCCTTTTTTTTTTTTTTTTCCCTCCTTTTTATTTTTTTTCCCCTGCTGTTTTTCTAACCTGCCGGCGGAGAAGGGGGGCGAGCGCAGCCCCCCCGCCCCAGGACCCCCCAGGCAGGGTCAGTGTGCGCTCCGCAATCGCTCCTCTTTTCGTGCGTGCGTGTGTGTGGGTGCGAGTGTGGTGCCTGTCAAGGGGCTGTTTCTCTCCCCACCCTCCTCCTCCTCCTTCTTCCAAATATGCTTTTTGAAAGTTTTGATCTCGTCTCGGCACTGGCTACCCTCGCGGCGTGCTTGGTGTCACTGACTTTGCTGCTGGCCGTGTCCCAACAGCTGTGGCAGCTCCGCTGGGCTGCCACCCGCGACAAAACCTGCAAGCTACCAATCCCTAAAGGCTCTATGGGATTCCCTTTAATCGGAGAAACCTTCCACTGGCTCCTGCAGGTAAGGAGGATTCCCTTCCCTCCCTGGAAGGTGGGCTGGGACCGGCTGCTTTTTTTTTTTTTTTTTTCCTTCTTCTTCTTCTTTTTTTTTTTTTTTTCCCTCCCTTTTTCTTTCCTTTTGCACGGGCTGCGATTGCATCAGGCGGGCTCCCGGCGAGCTGGGGAGGCAGATGGGGCTGGGGGGGACCGAGGGAGCCCTGCTAGGCTCGGCTTGGCTCGGCTCGGCTCGCCCCCGGGGCTCCGCGCTGCGCTGCCCGGCCCGGGGCGCGCCGGGGTTCCCCCGGCGGGGGCTGCGCGGTGCCGGGGAGGCGGCGGGGGGAGGCTCGGGGGTCTCCCCCGCGCTGCCCAAAAGCCTTTTTCTTCCCCCAGCCCGAATCCAAGCAAAATGAAAAGAAAAAATCAGCCAACCCCCGGGGGCGGCACGCGGGGATTTGGCTTCCCCGGGGGGTTGCGGGCACGGTGCGGGGGTCCCCCGGTTGCGCCCCCCCCACTCTGCTCATCCCGCGGTCCCGGGAGCTGTTCCCGGCCGGGTTCCCGACCCGCCCGGCTCGGGTCCGGTGCCGGGGGAAGCCCACGGAGGTAATCGGGAGCTTAACCCGGGATTAACCTCGCTAAGTGCTGAGCAGCAGCGGCGGGCGGAGCGGGATCCCCTCGGACCGCGTTGAGGAAGGGTGACTGCCAAAAAAAAGGGGAAAAAAAAAAAAAAAAGAGAGAGAGAGAGAGGGAGAGAAGGAGGAGGAGGAGGAGAGGAGGCTGGCGGCCGCCGGGGGTGCCCCGCTCGGGGGGGGAGCCGCGGGTTGGGCTGGGGGCACCCCGCCGCTCTCAGCCTCCCGGGAGGGAAGCCCCGAGGACAATTAGCCCGAGCCTTTCCCACTCCGAGCCAAACAAACCTCCGCCGGGATGCTCTCGCCGCCCAAGGTCGCGTTTCATTGACGGCACGGCCCCGGCACGGCTCCTCCGGGCAGCGCTGCCCGGCCCCGGCTGCGCGGCTGCGGCTGGCCCGGCCCGGCTCGACCCGGCTCGGCTCGGCTCGGTTGGGAGCTGGGGGAAACCCCGAGGTGAGAGCCCCCCCCCGCACCCCGAGCGGTTCCCCCCCTTTCCCCGGGCGCGGCGCCGAAGGGGTTAACCGCCCGCTCTCAATAGGGCTTTATTTTTTAAAGAAATTTATCAGATTTTTACAGGGGGACCAGAAAAGGGTTCTCGCTTTTCCACAGGCTCCATCCAAACAGAGTCCAGGGCTAAAAATACAAAATTTTGTATAAATTGGACTCCATTCGAAACTTCTCCCACATAAAGGTCCTCTTTGTGCTGCCCTGGAAATGGTGTACAAATAACTCTTTATTAATGCCACAAAAAGGACTTTAATTATATTTACGCAGATCAAGAAACAGGGTCACCTGAACATCTGAAATTCACAACCGCGCTTTTGTTTCAAAATAAACACACGCACTCGCAACCCGCGATCGCTCGCAGCGCTTCTCCCCGCGGGTCAGGGTTTTTTTGGGGGGGGGGACACGAGCCGGGTTTCCCCCCTCCCGCCTCTCTGGTCGGTTCCTCGCCGACAAAAGCCCCCCCCCGGAGCATGTGGGAAAGTTATTAAAAAGCCGCCCGAAATCTGCAGATTTACTTAGGCGAATCGCAGCCTCTCGAGTAAATTCGGTCTGAGCGAGGGGAAAAAAAAAAAAAAAAAAAAAGGAGGGAAGAAAAAAAAAAGAGAGGGGAAAAAAAAAAAAGTGAGGGAAAAAAAAAAAAAAGAGTTTTAAAAGTGCCGGGGGAGGTAGAAAAAGGGAGGCGGACGGGGGGCGGAGGGCCCCGGCGGGAGGAGCGGGCAGCGCCGGGCGCCCCGTCGGAGGCAGCGGGGCTGTGCACGGGTGGGACCCCCGCATTTTGCCCCCCCCAGACCCTCAGGCACGGCTCCCCCCTCCTCGGCGCTTCCCCATGCTGCTCGCCGGGTGTCCGCTTCCAAAAAACAGGGGAGAAAAAAAAAAATCCGAAATCCCCGCGGAGCTGCTCCGGGAGCGATGCTACGCGCGGGGGGATGCGGGGACGCGAAATTGGGGGGGGGATGCAAAATTGGGGGGGGGATCCCCAAGCGTGGGGGGGGAGAAGGGGGCCGTGCGGTGACACCGGCCTCCGGGGGCCCCCTCCCCGTGCTCTCCCCCCTCCCGTGCAGGGCTCCTGCTTCCAGTCTTCGCGACGGGAGAAGTACGGGAACGTGTTCAAGACGCACTTGCTGGGGCGGCCGCTGGTGCGGGTGACGGGCGCGGAGAACGTGCGGAAGATCCTGATGGGGGAGCACCACCTGGTGAGCACCGAGTGGCCGCGCAGCACCCGCATGCTCCTGGGACCCAACACCGTGGCCAACTCCATCGGCGACATCCACCGGCACAAGAGGAAGGTGAGGAGCCCACGCGAGACCGGGGGGGCGCGGGGAGCTGGGGGGGACCCCCGTTTATCCCCTCCCTTTCCCTCTTTTCCCCTCCTCCTTTCCCTCCTCTCCTTCCCTTCCCTCCCTTTACGCCCCCCCCAAGTCCCCCCCTGCGTGGGCGGTCCCGCGTGGGTGCCCCCTCCTCCCCATCCCGTCCCCCCCACCCCCGTGTCCGCGCTCGGAGCCTTTGAGGAATTTAAAAGGGCGATGGGACGGCGGGAGGGAGCCGGGGGGGGGGCACACGGGGCGTTCCCGAGGGCTGTCTCTGCCCCCCCCCCCCGCTGCCCACCCGTGGCTGTGGACACGCGTGGTGGGGGCTGCCGTGGGCTGGAGGTCGGGAGCGGCCCCGCAGAGGTCTTAAAAGGGAGATGCAAGAAGGGGGGGGGGCATCGGGGAGAGGGGGCAATGCAGAGCCCCCCCCCCCATGTCCAGGCTGCACCAGAGGGGGCTGTGGGGAGCCCCCGTTGGGGTCCTGCTTGCTGTAGCCTGATTTCAGGGGGCAGTGAAGTGTCCTCAGGTGTCAGGGATCGACCTTAGGGACCCCCCCAGGCAAAAATCCCCCAGGCAAAGGCGGTGGCAGAGGTGACAGGCAGGGCGTGCTGGCGTGGTGGCATGGGTGATGGTGGCTTGGGCTTCACATCCCTGCTTCTTGCCCTTCTGGGGGTTAATTTGGGGGGCAGTGAAGGGAAAGCATCTCCCTGCTCCCCAAAATCACTGCCCCCAGGTGGGATTAAGGGTGGTACCCAGCACCAAGGGGCTGCCCCAGGGCTTGTCCCGAGGCAAACTCTGCTCTCCTTTTTGTGCTCCAGCAGGATTCCCTATCCTGGTGCATGCATTTCTCCGAAATCCCTACCGAACCCCATCGCTTCTCTTCCTTCCTGGGGTTAGGACAATAAAACCACCTTGGTCTGACTCCCACGAGTCACATTTCTTAACGAAAAACCCGAACATTGCCACCAGGATTGTGCTGCTGGTCCCTGCTTGGGATCGGGGCGAGCTCGGTGCCTGCAATTGCGCCGCCGGCTGCTTGGGTTTCTCCTTTTTGTTTTAAGGAGGGAGGAATCTTTCCCATCCCTGCCGTGAAAGGTTGTGCGTGGGCTGTCCCATCACAGAGGGTGTCCAGGGGAAGGAGAGGTGCAAGGACGGGGATGGTTTTCCTCCGGCAGCAGGGGTGAAGCTGCAGCTCTGGCTCCTGTTTGCTCTTACGAGAGGGTTTAGTGGCAGCAGACAGTGATGTGAAGGTGCCTCCACTCTCCTCCGCTGCTTCCTTTATCTCGTTTGGCAAAAAAAAAAAACAGTTTTTCTCTGCTGAGGAGTGGGCAGCTCAGGCCTCTGGTTGAGATGTCCTCAATAAAACCCGCGGAATTCAAACCTCAGGAAAAGATGCTGGGGGAGGAGAGGAGAGCGTGGGTTATGGGAACGAGGTCATGGAAAAGGGAGGCCTGACCTCTGTGGTATCCTGATGGGCTCGTAATTTGCACCACAGCACAGCTGGGGAGCGCTGGCACCAGAAAGGAGCAATACCAGTGGCATAGCCAGGGGACAGCCTCTCTCCCTCAGTACCTGTCTCACTTATATGCTAGGCTGTGAATCCCAGTCCCAAATACTCCCTGTATTTTTGAGCCCAAGGCTGGTCTGGATCTCCATTCTTCTCAAAACTCTTTTGCCTTCCTGATTTTTAGCATTACGCATGATCCCTAGCTGGCCAAGATCCTAATTCCTGCCTCAGGGATGGCTAAAGATTCCCGAGAACAGGTACAGCCCGCTGTCCTGGGATGCCCTGCTGTCGGATCAAGGCTCTGATGCCACCCCTGTGCAACCGAGCCATGGCCTCGGATGCTTATGGACCACAAGGGCTCCTGCCTGCACCCCTCATCTTATTTTGGGCTCTGGTGTAGTGGAGAGCAAGATGAGCAGGGCTGGGGATGCTGCGGGGCTAAGCAGACTCTTAGCTTTCTATTTCATCAAGGTTTGGGTACGATGGGCTCAGCTGGCTGGTCCACTTTCCTTTGAATACGGCTGATTATTCTGATTCCTTCACTTGGTCTTTTAATTACTGTTTAATTACTGTTCTCGAGGGGCTGAGCATCCTGTGGGTCACGCACCCATGGGTGCTCACAGAGCCCGGTGGCTGGAATCGCCCTTTCCTCTGTGCAAACCATCCCTCGCCCTGGGCTGGGCGAGTTGCACATGCGGAGATAAGGTGAACCTGCTTCTGATGTGAGGCAATAGATCATTTTGTTCCTGGTGAGATTGCGATGACCAGATTAAAGTTTTTTTCCAGGCCAGGTGCAGAAATTAGCGGTGCCTTTTGAGTTTGTCAGCCCTGAGCTTTTGTTGCTGCTAAATGGCATCGACTTTTAACTCTCCCCATCCTGACTGTGAGATGCATGAGGAGGAAGCACTAGACTGAGATTTATGTTTTCTCCTTCCAAGTAGAAGTTTTTCTTTTCCCCCCACCTCTCTCAGCTCGACTCTTTGCTCACTTTTAACCACTTTCTCATCCTCTGGTCCTGCCAGAAGTTGCTATGAGCTATCATTTCCCACGAGGCTGCCTGTGGCATTGGGTGCCAGCTGGCAGGAGGAAAAGGAGCATGAAGCCCCATGTGCTCACCCTCTTCCAAGACCCAAAGCATTTGGGTCATCTCCAGCTCTTGTCCCACCAAGCGCTGCATGGTCACCACCTGAAATGAGTCCTCATCATCTTTCTATAAGCCAGTGGAGTTGCACTTATTTACACCAGCACTGGCAAATGCTCCTTCGTTGTTCCCTGGCCATCAAGCCGTGGTCTCCTGGTGGGGCAGGTTGCCACTCAGACAGCAGACAAGCTCCAGTAAGAGCTTAAAACCCAGCACGTTCTTGTAGATTGCTGCAGAAATCAGCTGCTTTGCTGGCCGTGCATAGGTTTCCGCAAAGTTTTAGCTTTTCTCTGTGTTTTTAGCACCAGCAAGTTGCAGCCTTTGCTGGTGGATCTGCAGGAGTTGCCCATGATGGTGATGGGATCAGAGCTGGGGTGGATGACTCGGTCTCTGGAGCTCTTCTCTCGGGTTTGCTGTTTCCCTCTCTCAATTTTTCTTCAGGATCTTATGAGGATTCAACATCCCCCTGCATAAAGTGGGTGAATATCCTTCTCCATCCCTGGCTGTCAGAGGCTTTAATCCCAGAGGTGTTGATACAGGGCTCAGAGTTGCTCTCCTGGAAGATGCTTAGGAGGAACGAGGTCACATTAACAAAATCCCCATGGCAGCTCTGCTTTCCCATCCCCTCTTTTTTAAAGCTCCCCTGCAGGAAACCATCAAAATTTGTACAAATAGGAGAAATTTTTCCTTTTGGAACTCCCCAAGCTTTGTTGGAGAAGAGGTCTCAGGTACAAAGCCAGCTTTGCCCAGGGCCGTGACAGCTTGTGGGGTGGGAGGTGAACTCCTCAACCTCCTGAGATAGATGCCTACTGTGGGGTTGTTACTGCCAGGGGGCCACAGAGCTCATGTCGAGGTTGGAGAAGGATCTGGGCTGCCCATGCCACACCGGAGGGAGCTCATTCCTTTGTCCTGGCCTTTTTGTCCCCAGGTCACCTGGAGGTGACCGGCAGGAGCAGACAAATTTTTTTCCTGCCTGGATGAGCACGGCCATGGCTTTGCCTTGGCTTTGTGGTGGCAGAACCCTTTCCATCTCCTTGGGGTGAAGGACACACATCATCCCTGAGGGTTGGAGGTGTCGGACACATTTTGTGTCCTGAGGGAGGGAGGCTCCTGCTCTCCTACAGGAACTCATCGGGGAGAGATCCTGGGACAGCGCCTGTCTCGGGGCTCTCCCCATCCTGCTCTTGTTTTGGAGGCACAGCCATGGATGGGGATGGGACCCTGTCCCTGTCCAGCTGTTCACACTGAGTCCATTCCACATCCCTCCCTAAATTTGTCTTTTTTACCCCCTCAGTTCCCATTTATACCCATGAAACCCAGCGAAATCAGTGCAGTCTCTCCGGATTTACCCCCTGTGTATTTTGGAAGTGTCGACCCCTGGGCCAATACGACCTGTAACGAAGGCAAAGCAAACCTGTGCAGGGATAGCGTGGGCTCTGGTTTTATGGGATTTAAGGGCAGTGGGAAGCTGAAGTTCAGCAAACGGAGAGCAAAGGCTGCCGTGCTGCTGCCCACGAGGGAGCCCGGTGTCTGTGTACAGAAGGGAACGGGAGCTGGAAATGGCCAGGATGCCTCACCCTGAGCTTTAGGGTCTGAACCGAGCAGTGCCTGGGGCCAGGAAGGAGTTTTTTGGTGTAGGATGAGCGGTGCCAGCGTGCTCTGGTGCAGGGAAAGGTGGGACAGTGACTTTTCCTTGGAAGCATCCAGCCCTGGCAAGAGAGCACTGGACTTGCAGGGCCCGTGCTCTGTTCCAGCATAGTAATCCCAAAATAGGCACAGCTGGCTTAAAAAAAAGGAAAAGAAAGAATAAAATAAAAGCAGTCCGTGGGCTGGGTAGACATCCTAGACCCGGAGACTCGAGGAGGAAGCAGACAGTGGTGCAGAGAAACGGCCTGTTTTGTCTCACTGTCCAAAACTACATCATTCATTAACACACCACAATTAATGTTCTGCCTCGGAGGCATACAAGTGTTGAGCTTATTAGCACCAAGTAGAAAGGTCTGAGGCTTTAATATAGTTTGCAAGAGGATTAAGAACACAAAAGGGGCCATAAATTTACAACCAAATATAAACCAGCTGCTGTGGGCAGGACTGGGGGGAGGGAGGGAAGGAGGGAAGGAGGCAGACGGGGGAGAGGGGCGGGAGGAGGAAGGAGGGATGGGAGGCGGCAGGACTGAACCTTCCCCACTGCCGACCCAGGCTGCTCAGAGAATTTAATTTTTTTTTTGGCATTTCCATCCTCCTCAGGAGGAATTGTAGGGAAGGAGCCATCGCCTTCCAGCTGAGCCCCCCCCAGATCGTGTCGGGTCAGCTCAGGCTGGGCTCCAGCTG